AAATTCTGCATTTTGAGACTTGGGCCTAGGGCCTTGAGCCTTGGTGCTCGGTCTAAAGTCCGCTTTATTTAGCAATATTCATCAATACTTCCTAAAGATTTTTTTTTTTTAAGAAAAAAAATATTTTATAATTCATGACGTAACGAACTATAACATAAAAATTTTTCTTACCTGTAAAATTTTAGATAATTAAAACTAAAAAAAATGTACATTTAGAGAGAATGTTCATATAATACTACATTTTTTTTATAAAAAATTTTTCATATTAAATTTGATAAATGAGAATTTGAATCATACTTTAACATTAAAAAAGAAAAAAATGTACCTTCAAGAAGTATGATTGAGGAGATGATTTTCAATCCCTTTTCTGATGAGTTAAAGAAGTTCTTTGATTGTAGGTGTGAATTTAATGGGAAGTATGAAATAGGGGATTTAAGATTATTAAAAAAATTTCAGTTATTTAGTGAGGAATTTTTTTATTGTAGAATTGGAAAAGGATGATGATATCAACACAATCACAACAGCATGGAGAGCCAAGTATGGAGAGCCAAGTATTTGATATTCGAGAATGGGTTTCTATTTGGCAAATTATGGGAACACTTGACGTGGAAGGACCTGATGGTGTTTCTTGATGCTTTTATTTTTAAAAATAATGTGGTGATGAAGTTGAAGAGATTGTGGGAGCAATTGAAGGTATTAAGGGATTATTATAACGCAAAGCAGCGTCATTACATCGAGGTGACAGAGAGAACCACCATGGCAACTCCTAGCAAATAAGAGATGGTCCTCAGGAGTCAATATTGGTGGATGACTTTCTGTTTTTTAGGCATAGCCACTTGCTATATATTCTAAATTTCTATAGCAGGTTGGCTAACCCATGCCTATGAGTGGTTCAACATCCAAAAATGCTGAGTTCTCTCTTCCTGAAGAGCTGGTTACTGGTAATTAAACCCATGTTCTTATTTGTATCATGGCTTGTAATATTTGTGGTTTCGAGCATGCCTACGTACATTTAGCTGGATTTTCAGAAAAACAGATGGTTATCAATGGTACAACAGTTTTGGGGTTCTGTTTATGGAGCCGCAGCAGATTCCCATTTGTATTTCCTTTCTTCTCATTCAATTTTCTTCAGTAACAAATTTCTCAAGAGAAGTGTGTTTTTTTTTTTTTAATAAGATTATAAATAATCCTAACATTTTATGGGAGAAGGAGGAAGTCATATTGGGATTTGAACATTAAAACTGAAATTATTTCCACTTAAAAGAGTGAGTTACAAACCACTTTATCTGAACATGTGGAATTTCAAAAAAAGTTTTCTTAAATGTAGGCTTGTGCCTTGTAATTCCAAAATGATATATCTATGTAATCCCCCATGATCACCAGAATCTCACAGGTTTTATCTCCTCATCCTCAATGAACACGGCCTAATAGGCTTCCAAGAAACTTGCACTTGGAGTATTTCTCGTGTGGAAAATGAAAGTTGAGAGCATCCATATAAGCATCGCCAATGGTTTAATCAGTGATAACATACAGCTAGTAATCAATAATGCCTTTTAGGTATCAGCCCTGATCGTGCAGTGGTTCAATCCTAAGCCGTAAGTGCTTGTGGTTCCTAAGTAGGGTGTTCTAATTACAAAAGTACAAATGGATATACCCAAGTCCTAAACTGTTTCTCTCTAAACCAAAATTTGCAGTAGAAAAAACGTACCTTAGATGCCAACTCCAATTCGTTTTACCTTTGCAACTCTGGCTGCTGACGGAGTTGAGCTGGAGGATAGCATACAAGTATTGGTTTTACCTCTGCAACTTAAACCTTGGTCAACTATATATGGGATAATGTCGAACGATAGATACAAAATTTAGAGACAATCCTTTCAATTATCCTCCAGAAAGAATTTACTGGAACGATGGTTATTAGTTTACAGATTTTCTTATGTTCGTTGCTAAAACTTTCATTATAAGTGTCTGAATTGACTATAAAATATAAATGTAGTATGAATTGATAGGAACCAAATCCCACATCAAATGTGTACGGCCAAAGACTGACGTTTATAAATCTGAGATGGAGTTAAACGTTCGGCCGAGCTCGGTTGCGAGGGCTTGTAACCCAAGTGGGGGCGTTAAGGTGGCGGAACCCTTGTTCAGCTCATTGAGCCGGGTCTGTATTGGCTAGCTTCTGGCTTGCCCGTTCCAAGCTAGGAGTTGAACCATGTGATCCGTGCGAAGGCTTGGGTCACATTGTTCCTAGAGTGGAGGGGTCCGCGTGAGGCTGGTTTCACAGAGCAGCGAAAGCCTCCCTCTCTTGGCAGTGGAAGGATAACAAGTCTGTGCCAATCAGGCCCACCTCGGCTCCTTGGGCTGATCCTAGCTGGACCGTCACCTTTTTCAAGTGGGTTTTTTGGGATGCAAAAGTTTGATAAATTAAATATTAATTTTTATTTTTTAATATAAATTTATGAACAAATATTTTTATTATATTTTTTAAGCTGTGTCTTAACACAAGTTATAAATTTTTTTTAAAAAGTGTATTTTTTAAAGTTTTTTGAGTTAATAAAAACTAATTAATTAATTTTAATGTGATAAGAAATTTTTTTAAAGTGTTTTTGAATTAGTTTTTGTTTACTTTGATATTAATTCATCTTGGAGGGCAATTAATTTTTTTTGAATGTTACCTCAAAACTTGAATTTTATTTTTGATTAATAAAATAACATTTATTTACCAATATATTACCGTTAAACTTTAACTCTTTATTTCTTCAAACTCCCCTCACTCATTCCAAAATTTAACTTTCAACATAGAGGCTTGAAGTTGTAATACTAAAAGACTTTGTTTAACTAATATACATAGGAGAGAGAAAAAATGTATTTTAAAAGATTACATAGTCTCAAGTTTTTATCATCTTGGAAATGGACTTTATGAACTCTATATCTTTGAGGACTTCTTAATCTAGTTTATGTTCTCTTAGGAATGATTTAATAAGAGTGTGTAGCTTTAAAATTTCTAGATTAACACATGCATAAACATTATTTCTTGTATAAAAAAGGTTTAAATTTTAAATTTATTAATAAATAAATATAGTCTATAAAAAATAAAAATATGGTCTATAAATCAGGTTTAGAGTTTAAGAATAAGTTCCAGCATCAGGGCAGTTTAATTTTAATTTCCTTCCTTCCCATAATTACATGATTGTTTCCTTTTTCCATTTTTTAAATATTTTATTACCAACAAAATTTCTCTATTTTTTCCCAATAAAAACCCTAATATAATATAAAACACCATCCGCAGAGTCACTGATGTGATAGTCCTAATCTTTCCCGTGTAGCAATTATCAGGCATCCTTCTCATATAACGTTTCAGCTTTCTGGTGGCAATCGAAGCTTGTTTGTGGCTACCCAAATGGCCATGAAGTCGCACTTAATTACAGGTTTTACTCAGCCAATGGCACATGCTTATTCTTCCTCGGGCTCCATTAACAACCTCTGCTCAGTGAAAAATTCTCTCTCAACGTCCTTCTTCAATGGCGGAGGTATGGTCTTTTGGATCTCTCATCTTGATGGGTACTTTTATTTTTGAATTTCACGTTATGGGTACAGTTTACATTATCTGATTGCTCAAAAATACGATGGAAAGGAAAAGACTTTTGTTGAATTCTAATTTTCATGCTCAAAGAAAGGTTGAATTGGAAGAAGAAGAAGCTGCTTAATTTCTTTGAATTGGACTGGTTTGATGGTCCTCAGTGAATAAAGATTGTCTTTTTAGTTTCTTTCGCTGTCAAATATTTGAAAATTTCAATTTCAGACATCTTTTTCTCAGTCTAGTAGTTTGTACCAAACTGCAATTCCATTGTAGAAACTAGCATAATGAGAATCTATAAGAAACACCAATACACTGTTATATATCTGAGTACTATTTTGATTCTTCACTCCCTCTTTCTTTGTCTGTCATATGATCTTCAGTCTAATAGTCTTCTTCTCGCAGCAGGTGGTCTAAGAGTGTCAAGGGTTAGAATCACTCCAGCAGGATCCCCTTGTTGTAGACAAGGTCGACTTGTAGTACGTGCCAACATTTTTGGTAGGTTTGCTCGAGTCATAAAGGTAAGGTATTAGGACACCAAGTTCTGGTTTCTGATATTCCACTTTTTGTATCTTGTCCACATAGCTTATGGATTGCTTACAATGGCAGTCATATGCAAATTCAATCTTAAGTTCTTTTGAGGACCCGGAAAAAATTTTAGACCAAGCTGTCCTCGAAATGAATGATGACTTGAAAAAGATGAGACAGGCCACAGCCCAAGTAAGTCTGTCTCATAATCCTGTATATTATTGTAAATTTCTCCTATATTTATTGTTTTCTAAGTGTGTTCTCTTCAATTTTACTTACCTTCTTTTGCATTCCCCTATTTCTTATCTGCTATCATAGTTGGATTGCTTGTTAAATAATAAAGGCAATGTAGTCAATTGTAAATTATATCAGAAAACTCTTTCCATATGTGTTGTGTTTTTTTGCATACCCAGATATCGTAAAAGTGATAATTTTTTTGAAGGTTGTGGCATCACAAAAAAGGTTGGAAACTAAATACCAAGCTGCCCAACAAGCTTCAAATGATTGGTAATCTATGAAATGTGTAGTTTCTTACTTCCTTTAATATTCGTGATGGTGGTGGCTAATTGATCCCAATCTCCTATTCTGTTTTGAGTTTGATGTAGGTTCCGTAGGGCACAGTTGGCTCTTCAGAGAGGAGAGGAAGATCTTGCGCGTGAAGCTCTGAAGAGGCGTAAATCTTATGCTGTAAGATATGATATTTGAAAAAGAGTTTACATGACATGCTGTGTTAGATTTAAATGATCTTTCTACATAATTTTGGATTCTATCAGTTCTTTATGGAGTTGTCGTAGGCATAGACAATTGCTCCTGATAATGATTTTTCCCTGTTTATCTTTGCAGGATAATGCAAATCAACTGAAAGCTCAACTCGATCAGCAGAAAACAGTTGTTGACAATCTTGTCTCCAACACACGGGTATGCAAAATTTTATAATTGGGTTTTGTGCCACACCATTAGTTACTCTAAAGTTAATGACGTTACAGTTCTCTTCCCTGAGGCTGAATCATGTTTTATGTAGCTTTTAGAGAGCAAGATACAGGAAGCATTGTCAAAGAAAGACACTTTGAAAGCACGTGCTCAGTCTGCAAGGTAGTCTTCACTATTCTCATCTTTATGTGTTTATTGTTTTTGATTTCTCTCTCAGTGTAACTTTTTGGTCATAATGGGCTTTGCTGGTGCTTTAGGACTGCAACCAAAGTGAATGAGATGGTTGGGAATATCGACACTAGTAGTGCTCTATCAGCTTTTGAGAAGATGGAAGAGAAAGGTAAGTTTATTGACTGATTTGAGTTTCTTCCCAAATGGTTCTTGTATTGGGCGTGGACTCAAGAAATTTGGGTTTGAAGATATATAAAAGAAGAATGGTTCCAAATTTTGTAATTTAGTAATTGATTTAATTTACTAGAAAAGACAAGAGGGGTAGGCGGGTGGGCACACAGGGAACTGCTGTTTCTGACAGTAATGCAACGTATTGTGGCAACATTAAAAAGAAATCAATAGAAGGATAAGGACAGAGAGAGAAAGGGAGAGGAGCATTCTATCAAATTCCTATGCACCCATCAATTGACTTGAATAATTTTGAAGAGTGATTGTGTTTTTCTAGTGACTCTTAAGACCAGTTTCTATCCCTAAGGATTAAAATTTTTGTTCCTGTAATTCATTTAAATCCTCCCCCCACCCAAAACCACAAACACAGACACTGCTAGCTTTTCTGCTTCCACAAAGATAAACTTTATCCTGCATTACTGGCTGCTAATCAGCTGTATTTGGTCCAGAGTCTTAATTTTTGATCTGAAATTTTGTCTTGACAGTTTTGGCAATGGAATCTGAAGCAGAAGCTATTGGCCAGTTAACCACTGATGATCTTGAAGGGAAGGTAGTAAATTCTTTTCCTCTCTTTTACATTTCATTTTATATTTTCTCTGATTAATACCTGAGTCCTTAAGTCAAAATTCAGTATGAAAACAGAAAAAAGAGAGGTTTAACTAAAACATAGCGTGTATCATCAGTAAACTGAATCTTTTGAAGCTCAGCGACTATTAATACAAAAAAAAATAATTAGAATTAAGAGAGTTATTTATCATAAATGTCCTTGTTAATGAAGATGTAACTTTGGCTTGGTTTTCTTTCCATCTCATAATTTTTTTGACAAGAATTTTAAAGACTGCTATATACTGCAGTTTACATACATGTTAAACTTTTACTCTTCTTTTTCTTTCTTTCTTTTTATTTTTTTTCTTTTTAAAAGAACTTATCCTTTTAGAAATTTGACTTATTTTTAATTCTTAAAAACTCATTATCTATTTTGCAGTTTGCATTACTAGAGACTTCATCAGTGGATGATGATCTTGCGCAGCTGAAAAGGGAACTCACTGGTACCTCACAGGTTTGTCTCATGGTCATACTTGCCTTGTGAAAAAGAATGCTCTCTCTCTCTCTCTCTCTCTATATATATATATATATTTGCACACAAATGATTTCTATTTAACAGACTAGGGTTTTATGTATAACTTCACGCTTCCTTACATTTTGGAAGCCATTTTTTCCTCTCATACTAGTTTTATTTTCAGTGATCTGTTTTGGCATTGTAGTTTGATCCTTAAGGTGAGGGAAAAAAAATTCATTTTTAGGTCAAAAACTGTAGTTGTTGAACACACAGAATATTGAATTTCACCATATTAACAAATAACAATCAAGCTTTATGCTTTTCTCTTCTTCTGTTCAACAGAAAGGAGAGCTTCCACAAGGAACTGTTTCAACAAGTGCGAACAAGCCATTCCCATATCGAGATGCAGAGATTGAGAAGGAGCTTAATGAATTAAGACAAAAAGCAAAAGACTTCTAAATTTTATGATTTGCATATGCAAATCTCAATTGTTGTGTCGAAGCACAAATCTTCTGGTCAAGGTTTAACTTGGTAAGGTAGAAATCGAACAGTTCATGTACATACAGAAGACATGCTTAAATCATGCATAGTAAATTTTTTGGATGACTTGTGTATATACTTGCATATGAAAATGATACTTCGATTTGTTCAATTGCAATTCAAAATCTATGGCCACTTATTACATGTACAATGTTCCATCAAATTTAAAATACATCTTTCTGTCAACTTCCTTCGGCCAAAGCAGTGGGAAGGACAAGCCTCCCTGCCCTGGTAACGGTAGGCAGCAGCAGGGGCAGGACCGCCCTGGCATCTGACATTGGCCCCTTTCTTACTGTCCCTTTCAAGAGACTTTCATTCCCTGCACCAAACTGAGCAGACTTTTTGGGACACGAACGAAATTCTCAACGCCTCTCATTTAAGAATCGCTTACCGTACGAGATAATGTCTTTGGTTTTCCACCATTAATCGACATGTTGCAGGGTTTTACCCCGACATGAATAGTTTATATTTGACTAAATTACAGAGACGTGCAACGGTTGATGAAGAGCATGAGTGGGAGGGTTAGGGTCAATTTTGTTGAAAATCCAGCATTCACACCGATCTCCATTTTCCATTTTTTGTATGGCCGCTTAGTCAACTTCAAAGTTTCAACCTTTGGACTTTTCGTTTCATTAAATTCCAATTATCTAGGTAGCTCAACTGCCCCCCAAAATGACAGAAACTACCCCTTCTACTGATGCCCAAACCGAGTTATGCCATAGGGTCACTGTAGTAAACTCATCAACCACCAACCTTTGCCCTTTGACACTTCCAAATTTATAAACCCCTGGTTCATCTTCCCCCAACATGGCTGGAAAACAGAGCAGCTTCCCTCCACGACTGATTCATACTTCCTTGGTCAACAAGGAAGGCCGCCCAAAACCACAGACACATACGAACTCCGTTCTATAAATACTTCAACTCCCATTCCCATTCCCCCCAACAAACATTCCCAAGCAAATTAAAGCACTCAAATCTTCAAAAAAACGGAGCTTTTAGATTCCACCTACTCCCCTGTTTTCTTGAAGATGGCAAGCAGAAAATTAAACACCCTTTTACTCGTTCTTGTGATCGCAGTGGCCGTACTGAGCTGTGTTGAGGCAACGAGAGTGTTGCCTGAGGATTTCGCGGAGGCGAACCACCTGGCGACGTACTCGTCAGTGTACGAGAAGGCGAAGTCCACGATGTCCTGTTGGCTCGGACGGCTGGCTTCCGGACCTAGTCCTAAAGGACCTGGCCACTAGAGGCTGAATACAACAGTCAGGTCGAGGTCTCCAACAATCAAAGATATATATATGTATGTTACAAATTTGTTTGTTAGTTTATTTGATCTTTTTTCCGTAGCGTCAAGACATGCTGCAGAAAAAATTATATAGGAGATGATTGTAAATGTAATATGGAATAAAAGAAATCTCTGAATGATTATGTTCTTGGCGTAATTAATCTGACATAATTTCTACGGAGCAATAGAGTCCGGATTCTTGTTATTTGAATCGGAAAATATAAAAGTTTCTTGATTTTTGTTTATCAAAAAAGAAAAAAATCTTTTGGGTAAGAAATAAGTACTTCCAAAATTCATATATATTCTCTGTTAATTCTTTTGCTACACGATTGGAGAAGGTATCCTATGCAATGGTTACAGCAGGACGTCTGTCAATGACAATTCCACTAGTCATCAAAAGTAAAGTTGCATATTGATTCATCAGGTGCGGGTGAGTGGGAATGAGTTTACTTTTTATTATTATTTTGCTTATGTGTTCAATTGTCATTGATTGATTATACCACTCATGTTATACATCGGTTTTGTTAAGTTTGCATTTAGTTGGTGGGGAATAATAATACCTTGGTTGAAAATATGCAGAGATATCAAACCAATATGGGGTTAGTTGATTTGGTATTACAATTATTAAATTCAAAATCTTAATTCTAGAATTGAGATTAAAAGTTTAAATTTTTACCATGCTAACTATACAACAAACTAAAAGAGTGAGGATTTGAATCTATATATGTTGTTTCTTGTAATTTAGTGATCATACATTAATTAATCTCCATTGCAAGTAAAAAGGATCAGAGTAACTAGGTAAGATAATGAAAAAAGAACAATATAATATATATATATATATATATATATTGCTCGAGTTATTCATTTAAAGAAAATTCAGAGCTTGCTAAGGAGCTCATATTATTAGAATTACAGCCCAAAAAAGGTGAGAAAAGAGATTAAATAGGTGCTAAAATTCAAAGTCTAGCAAACACTGAAAAAAAAATGGTTTTAGTACCTAATACTTTAAGAGACCTAAAGTCTCCTTAAAGATGGTTTTAGGGACAAAACGTCATCAAACCCATAAAAAACATAACATTTTAAAAGCTATTTGAGACGGTATGTCACTAAAACCTTTAAAACCTTTTACGACAACATGTCACCTAAACTTTTAGAGTTGATACGTTCTAAAAACCTTTGGGGAACGCCACATCCCCAAAACCTTAGAGAACAACACATCCCCTAAGGCATAGTTATGGAGACGATAGCGTCCCAGAAGAATGCAACCAAATAGGCATATGCCATCCCCAAAAGCTTAGTTCCATTTATTCATTAATTCAATTTTTCGTTCAATTTTTTCTATTTTGATAATATAAATCGGAAAAAGATTTAAATGAAAATAATACTTGAAAATAATAACAAGCTTCCAAGTTCAAAATAATAATAATAATAATAATAATAATAATAATAATAATAATAATAAGCTTAATTCATGTTAAAACAGAATGCAATAATCATATTGTTGTATTTCGTATGTATCAAAAATATACAATTAATTAAAACATCTACTAAGTATCATCATAAAAAGGAAATAACTAAGCTAACATCTGTATCCAAATGTTATAAAGTTGTCATTCTTCATTCGAATCTATTACGGTATAACTACTCCTTGTGTCAGCCGTATTTCTTGAAATTTTTGAATCATCCTTTGCACTTTTTCATTACATTCATCATTTGTCCTTTTCGTCTCCATGCGCAATTTGAATCTTCCTTACACAAGTCTGAGAATAACTTCAGTCTTCTGCTTCTATGTCAAATTGATTCCTACGTAGCATTCAATAGTTTGTTCAATAATTTGTTGCAAGTGTTAGATCCTGAAACCCCAATTGATTTCTAATATGTACTTCAAAAATCTAACTGAAATCTACCCGCTATCTCAAAAGCTAACCTGTGCAAACACAAAGAATAGCAATGAAAGTTAGTATAAAAATGCTTTAAAGAATGAAATTATAAACCTCACAACTATAATCTAGTGGTAGAAGAAAATGCTTACAAAAAATGCATCCACTGTAAACCTCACGGCAACAATCAAGTGGTAGAATTGATAAAAACACCATATTCATAAAGGATGAAAGTATGAAACACAATTTTAATGCAAAATGTATTCATATAAGATCAAACTACATATAATTTTGAAGTATAATAAATATAAAACGATAGATACTTACAATAGAGAAAGTCAAACACACGCTAATGTTTATGGATAGTTAAAGATGTAAGGAAAAAAAAGAGGACAGTTGAGAGAAATAGTTAAGGGATAAACTAATAGTACTCCTATTGTAGAGTTGATGCTGAAGAAGGAAGACTGCTTCAGATAGAAGGTTGAAAGCAAAATACTTTGATAGTAGAATGAACTTTAAAATTTTTAGAAAAATTTTGTCTAAATATCCTACAAACTCAAATACATCATTCATGGGTTTAACTTGGTTCAAGACAAGGATTATCCTAAGAAATTTTAGCTTCCAAGGAAAATAAGAACTAAATCTACAATTAATTCAGAACCAAAATAGCTGCAATCAAAATATAAAAAATGACCAGAAACTAATATAAAAGCCAAACCAACAATCAGACTCTGAAACCATAACATATATTGAAAACAAACACAAAAGCCAAAAAAATAAGAGAAAGCTGACATAATTTATATGAAGCTATGGTTTTTTAATCACAATTTGATACCTTTGTTTTGCATGTGAAGAATTGGTGGTCACTGTAGATTCTTCAGAAGAAACAATAGCTCTTTTAACCTCCCTAATCTCTTCCTTATCAAGTTTCTGCACCTCCCTCAAGAATCATTAAATTAAAGATATCAAAATAATCCTGTCTAATTGAATAAAAGCAATAATTGAATTAACTGCCATCCCAAAATCATGTATTATGAAGTCACAAGTTAAATAGAGTTCCTGGGTTGAAAATATCAGCTAGAAAAATGTTTGATTGGACTCAAAAAAGAAATGCCTAATATGTATTATTAAATCCAAATAATATGAGCAATTTTCCATGGAAAGTAGAAATACACAATTGTTTTGCATTGGGACTGGGTCAGGTTGCAATGATGTGGCAGTAATTCTAACTTGATATTAAGGCATTGTAGATTTGACTCAACAAATTCTGCAATTGTAGACCTACCAATTGTATAAATAATATGAAAATGGACTTCTAATAATTTTCCTTACCAAGGAAACAAGAGAAAAGAGAAAAACACAACACTTTTAAAATTTGAACAGATTATTTGTCACATTGTTGATGTTCCTAAAAAAAATGGCCCAATTGAGTTCCGTAGAAAAATAATAATAACTACTGAAATCTGGTGCAAAATGTCGCAGGAAAAGTATAACAGACAGAGGCCTAAAAATCTAGACATCATAAGAAGGAGAATACAATAATTTGATGAAAATAAAAAAAGAAGAGAAATAGAGCAATGAACGTAAAAGGAAAAAGAAAAAAAAAAAAAAAAACAGAGATTAAGAAACAAAGGAGGATTGATCTCATGAAAAGACATTTTCTTATGATAAAACCACAACCAAACCCAAGTAGCAAACACTTCAATAATATTCGTTCAAATATAACAAAATCGACTCCAGTGGTTCAATAAGCCAACACAACTCCATATTACTTTTTTTTTTTACCACCATCAGAAGCACCTCTATGTTACTTAAATCTCAACATTTAACCTTAATAACAAAATTTTACGGTCTATTCACAACACAAACAACAATTAAAATCGAAAATCCTAGAACTCATTCATAGATTCATATAATAAAAAAAATGGATCAAATAATTAACAAATACCTGACAAGCAGAATTTTTTTGATCTGGGGTTGCCTTCCTCCTTTTCCGGTTCTTTTTTTTTTTTTTTAATCCTTCTTAAAGCTCCATTTTCTGGTTAAGTACAACGAATCCCCTTCCTCAGGTCCAGGATGGACGATGAGTGAGCAGCAAGCAACATAGATCTGTAGTGGTAATCTCGTAGTAGACGGTGGCTGCAGAGGAGGAGGAGGATTTGGGGAAGCAACCTTCCTAGATTTTCGAACGTATTATGGCTGTTTGAACGACGATTGCTAAGGAGTATTTGAGACAGTGCGGGCGGCTGTGATGGAAGGAGAGTTGGTGACTGAAGGCGGTGAAGACTGGGTAATCAGTGAACAAAGAGCAAGGAGGGATGGATCGGGTCGTGGAGAAATAGGGAAAGGGCGTGGAGTGTTGCCACAGAAAAAATCGTGCTAGGATTCTTGGCGATTGAAAGAGAGGGAGAGAAGGTGGCCTCTGGCAGTAGGTGAGAGAGCAGGGGCAGTGTCTGCGGGTGAGAAAATAATTTTCCCCCCTTTGAGATGCATGAGTTGTTTTGTTTTAAAATCATAGTATTGAAGAAATTTTTAGCTTTTTTGCTATTGAATTTCTAAATAGATTTATGGATGATTAAACTCTTTTTTAACAGCTAATGATTAAACCAATTCAAATTTAAAATAACACTAGGCACGCTAAATGTCAAGGCATTTCCAGAGGTTGTTACCAAATCCTATGACATTAGAAATGCCTTTGGGGAAAATAAGTTTAATATCTTCCAAAAGACTAAAAAGATAAAACGTCCCCAATTAGAGTTTTGAGCGGGTTTGGGGATGATTAAAATGAATCGTTATCAATATAACTTAAAGTACAATACCAGATACGCAAATGGGTAGGTTGTCCCCCAGAGTCGTCAGTGCAAGTGAGGCTGTCCCCAGGGGAAACGCCAAATTGGTTGCAATACTTAGTGTAGTACTCAATCCTATCATTAACGAGGTTCAGATTTTTACCTTCGCATTCCTGATCTCCATTAATGGCTCTGATGGTAGCTCCAAACCCTTGCCCTATCACCTGCTCAACATTGGTCAACCAATACCACAACGCTGCCTTAAACGCGATGACAGGGTCTTTGGCCACTGTTTCCGGTGAGTTCAAGCCGTCAAACCCAATGCTGCTCCCGGCCGGTCCATAGTTGTAGTTCCAAGTTAGCTGCAGTGGTCCTCGGCCATAGTAACCCTTGTTAGGGTTGCATGGATACTGTGTGTTGGTCTCATCACAGTAGGCCCGGGAGGCTCCATCTCTCTGTTCTATGTAACAAAAATCTGCAGAAAAACAAAAAATGATCTCAAGTTTATAATTCTTATGTGCTGAATAAGGAAAATGGTAATATTATAGTTATAATGTTTTGTAAGATTGCGATCTTAAATACTCTTACGTGACTTTAAATGAATATATAAAATAATATTAAATAAATAATAAGTAAATATATATAATATTATAAATATATATATTAATTAAAAAATAAATTATATAATAATATATCATATTATAATTTTATAATATGATCTGGTATTATATATATAATAACTTTCTTTTTTTTATTTAAGGATATGCATCATGGTTTTTTGCAATCTCAAATAAAATGACAGTAGAAATCTTACTATTGGTTTCATGAGTGACATGTGCAAAGAAAGCTGCAATTTCCCTTTTAGCGTCGTCGGCGGTGCCTGACTTTGAGAACTTAGAATAGGAACTAAGAGCTTGAAGATATGCGTCCCGGGTGTAGAAGTTCTTCCCCACACAGTTTGCATCTGCCTGACCCAAAATCCCGTTGAAGAATTCCTGGGTAACCACATCAGGCACCGAAACATCATTAGTGATGCAAGGGCCCTGCTGGCAGCCGGATCCGGCTCCGCAATAGCCCCAACCTATGCCACAAAAGCCCCACCGGTTGCAGCACTCGTTAGCTGCACAGCCACAGTTTTGACCCAGTATATTTCCGGGCATGGTTCCAGCGAGAACTGCGGTTAGGATAAGGAAGAGTGCACCCTTTCTCATATTCAAAGATTTCATTTTTGTAGAAAAAGGTTGGAATTAAGAATGAGAAAAGTGTATAATAGTGTGGGAAATATGCTTTGGGGCAAGGCTATATATAGTGGTTTTTTTTTTTTTTGTACTATTTTTTTAAAAAATCTTTACTTTACATTTGGCGTGGATTGTGGAGAGGACTCAGAGGTTAGCGTATGGAGTGTGGACTACGAGGATTGTGAGACTTTGACTCGAGATGGCAATTCTGAATTGCATTAGTCTTTGGGAGATGGGAGGTGGATTCATACAGCACAATATTTCTTAGACATGAATCGCACGTCATAATACTAGTAGTAATAATCATGATTACGGTAACTTTACCAAATAAATTGGAGTTTTGCAGGATGTCTTTTTGGAAGATATCTTAAAAAATATTATATTTTAATTAATATAAATTGTTAAATTAAAAATTATGTTAATATAAATTTTATATGTTAATTTTTATTTAATAATTATGTGTGTATATATAAATAAGTATTTAAACCTCTTACTCAATTAATCTCACTAATACGCGCAAACTCGAAATTAATCATTAGCTTAAGAGTGACCGGTTGAAATTCTTTGTACCCAAGCATAATTCATACCTCAATGAGATAAGCACTATGTCCCTCAAGTTGATAAGAATATTCTATTTGTATATCCTATATACAGTGAGTGTGATCCCTGCAAAAGATATTTCTAGTAGTTAGAAGCAGAAAGATCATATGAACTAATAACAAAGCTCTCTTAGGTAGGATGATGATTCAAAATTCAGATGCACAAAACAAAGAGGATGCAATTATATATGGTACACACTACAATTTAATTCTGAACCCTGGATACCACCCCCTCTAAAAAAAAAAAAAAGAAAAAGCAAAAGGAGTATACCCTTCCCTAGCTAATTGGTCTTCTAGACAAAAATGCCATTAAGGATTTCTACTTTCTATACTAGCTTCTGCATTAGACAAGCTCTCATGATACTCATCCAACAAGCAGTCACATAGTTTTAAATGCTGATCCACTGGGGGGGAATGCCTGGGTTACCCCCATCATTATGCTTGTCAGTATTGTACGCAATTCTCCATATGTCGTGCCTGAAATTATTTCAATCCTTGTATTTCATCCTCCTCACCTTGTCCCTGATTGTGAACAAATCTGTTGGGTGGTCTATAAATGTCCAGGTAGTTAGGACTTAGGAGCCTCCTTCTTGGATACTGGTTTTAGGAATAGGTAGGACACCATAATATTTGCTTTGAGGGTTTCAACAATGCGCTCTAAGACATTTCCCAAACCAACTTGCAAGCAAATTTACTTAAGTTCACAAATAAACAAAAGTGACATGATATAATTTCGAATATGCTTTCCTACTTACATTTGCCAAACCAGCCTGTGAACAAATTTAAATAGGTTCACAGATAAAAACAAGTGACATCATATAAATTTCAAACATGCTTCCTACTTAGTAGCTAAAGCTGAAGAACTTCACTCACCTAGGAAAAAATATCATAGCGTTCTTTTTATTTTTTATTTTTTGTTTTTTAACTTTTCCCCTTGTATTTCTTCCCTCTCATAAGGAAAACCCCAATCTCTCAAGACCTTACAGACCAGCAATGAGTACAATAGTGTGTCAACATTTCAAAATGATATCTAAAATGAAGAATATGCAAAGGATATTGATAATGAGAAAGTATTATTGCTCCACCTTTACGTCGCTTTGTTGGAAGACTATAATATGCACCATATCGTTGTTTTTCGCTTCGATCTCTTTTTGGCATTGCCTGCATAGAATGAGGTCTTCTCTTCATCCTCAAGAGCCATCAGGACTTGGTGATAACCAAAATATCCATCTAAGAGACTTAATCTCTTCCTTTATGACCTTAAGCCTTTCCCCCCAAAGAGGCGCCACTTCTGGGCTACTGGTTTCTTCAATGGATTGATGTTGAACTTGTGCTGAGATACTGAGGTTGGAATCGCTAGCATATCTGCTGAGGTCCAAGCAAAAATGTCTTTATTAGCTCGAAGGAAAGCTATTAGTTCTGCTCTTTCCTTTGGGTTCAACCGAGTTCTGATCTGTGTCTTTTTGTTCGGATCTCTGTTATCAATTTGTACTTCCTCGACATCTTCAACTAGAGTAGCTCGAGTTTCATCTTTGGATCTATTATCAAGTACCTTGACCCCCATGACCTCTTGGTTATCACGAACTTCCTTTGAAATGGTTTTTGATGTCTGATCTTTTCCTTTTTGAGGCCTTGTAACTGAGGTAATATAGCAATGTCTAGCCACCTCTTGGTTGCCTCGTAATGTTGCTACTCCCATAGGGCTTGGGAACTTCATACAGAGGTGAGATTGAGAGACCACAGCTCGGATCTCAATTAATGTAGGTTGTCCAATAACAACATTGAAGGATGAGGCTATTTTGACAACTAGAAACCGAATTGAGGGGGTAATGTAAGTTCGGCCACTCCCAAAAGCAACATTGAGAGTAAGGACTCTTTCTACCTGAACAGGTTGGTTATTGAATCCATATATAGGACCATCGTACCTTTGCAACGGAGCCGGATCTAGTTCTAGGCTTTCAAAACAGTGATAATACATATTATCTGGTGCACTCCCTGTGTCAACAAAGACACGTTGTACCTCACAGTTATTAATCATAATAGAAGTGACCAAAGGATCATTATGAGGTGTTACAATTGTATCAAAGTCAGCTGGTGTGAAAGTGATGGGTTAATTCTTCCATTCAGCATCATCAAACTTTCTTTTCTGAGCTTTGTTTTGATGCTTCACCTCCTTGACATATAACTTCCTCTGTTTGGAGCTCAAACCCCCTGCTTCCAATCTTCTCGTAATCATGTGTATAATTCTGGCTGGTGGTGAAAGTGGAGGTGGGGCTTGTTGATATCCCACTCCTTGTCTATTTCCAACATTACGAGATCCTTGTGGCTGTGGCCCCTATTCTCTGACAAACTTCGGCTGCTCTGTTCTTTGGATATATTCATTCATCATTCTTTTCTGAGCTAGACTTTTCAATTCAAACCTCAGACTATTGCATTCCTCCATTGTATGGCCATGATCTTGATGAAAATCACAGTATCTAGTATGGTCACGTGTAGTAGTAGAACTTTTCATTGGCTCTGGTTGCCTCAAATCCATCTTATTCTTGATCTGCATGAATATTTGCGACCTCGGCAGATTAAAAGAAGTCCATGTAACTAGTGCTTTATTGGTAGTTTGTTGGAGAGGTACCGAGTTCAGTCTTCTAAATCTCGGTGTGGAGGTCAACATTGGACCTTGATTCTATATTGTCTTCATTTGCTTTCTGCTTTGACCCTCATCTCTCCAAGCTGGGTTTTGATTCTTAGCAAGAACTAGCTTCTGTGACAAGGCATATTCCTCAACAGTTATGAATTTCAAAGATCTGTCATTAACCTCATTAAAAGTGGTAGTGGGATGCTTAATTAAGCTATCCCTGAATCTTTCATGTTTAAGATCTTGAATTACAGCCACATCATTGAATCTGCTCATGTAATTCTTTAGAGATACTCCATCTCTCTACATGACTCGCATCAGCTCAGAAGTGGTTTTCCTAATCAACCTCCTACTGGAAAACTTTGTAGCAAAAGTAGATGCCATCTCTATATAAGAATTGATAAAGTGCGGAGGTAAACTGTAATACCACGTTCGAGCATTGCCTCGGAGAGTAGAAGGAAAGATCTTATACATCAATGCATCAAAGGCGTTCTGAGCCCGCATACAGGAGTAAAAAGCATGCAGATGGTCATCTGGGTCCTTCGTTCCATCATATGTCTCGAGCTGAGGTATCTTGAAACCAGTAGGATAAGGTTCCAATGTTATGTTGGTGTTTAGAGGATGAGGTATTGAAGCAGTGTTATGTAGTGTTTTGAAAACCGAATCGAAGGTAAAACCATTTTGATCTTCGGTTCTTGATTTGACTAGTTTAATTGGTTAAATCTTTCAAACCACCGAGTCAATTGAATATGAATAAATATAATATTATGTTAGAATCTGGCACAATGCAGGCAGTGGTTCTGTTGGTCCATCATCTTGCATTTGATGGAGAAGACACAGGTTTGAGTCCTCCAGATGCTAAAAATGTAATTATTTTGTTTTTAACCCCTAATTGATAATATGTTGGCAGATCTTCTTTCGCATAGAAGGTACATAAAATATAATTTTTTAAATTATTTTATAAAAATGTTAAAAATCAACTTTAAATTAATTACAATCAATCAAAATACTTTATGTAAATATCAATTTTTTATATAAATTAATTATAAATAAATGTAAAATTTTGTATTATTATATTTTAAATTTATAATATATTGATGAGTTTTTCTTATACATATTAAAGGTGAAATAAATATATTTTTTAATTAATAAAAAATACATATTAATTTTGATTTCTAAAAAATTAAAATTTTAACGTTAA